CTGCCGTCAACGTCCACCACCACCCTTCACCACCACCCTCCACCACCACTACAATCGTCCATACACCACCACCGTACACTACCACCATTAATTTATATAGCAGTCTACAGACATTAAAAAACAAATAGTCTTCTTCTTGCAGACTGCAGACCTTTTCCTGCAGAAAAAACAAACACCCCCTTACTCAAGGACGGAACACAAGGGAATCTAATAGTTGTTTCTTATTTTTATTTTTATTCAAATTAAATACCAATTTTGATGAATTAAGTATTGTTGAATTAGTTAGAAGGTTGTAACTTGCAAGCAGTAGGCATTTAGCTGCCAGTTTCAGAATTCCTTGGGGGTTATGTTGGAAAATATCTAATGGCTTTGTGCAGCATTCCTGCATTTTTCGGAGAACTGACTTTATGAAATCTAACGTGATAGACTTACAAATTTTAATAACATGTTGAGATTATAGTAATTTGGGTGGTAACCCAAAATTCTTTACTCAGATAAGATGTAAAGTATCTAGAACGATCGGGATAGACTTACAAAATATAATAACACGTTGAGATTAAAGTAATTTGGGTGGTAACCCAAAGTTCTTTAACCCAAAATTCTTTACTCAGATAAGATGTCTAGAACGAGTATGGATTTTTTGTTGTTTGAAACATACCACAATATCTTCATATTTGTAGAAGAAATCCAACCAGACGTGCCTATTTAGACGAACCAGATCCACTGTTCGTCTAATATCCAAATACTCAAGCGTAGTAGTCAAAATGAACCAACACAACTTTTCAGGTAGCATTCGAATACTCAGTTGTAGTATTCGAATATTAAGGCGCCCAGAATTTCGTGAAAGTCACTAGATGTAAGCATTCAAATAGTAGCTTTCAGTATTCAAAGACTAGGCGACTCATCCTTTTCGTGAAAACTCACTAGAAGTACTCGAATACTTCAGTGCCCTTTCTCAAAATCATTCAAAATTTGTTGAGTTCTTCAAAAGGCAACACTTACCAAAATAAAAAATTTCAAGCTGACCTGAAACCCAAACAAGGAGCTCTGCCCCTAGGACCCCACCACTAGGGCTGCCACCCCCTATGCCCCCGCTTCTAAGTGCTGGAACTCATAATATGATTGAGTGAGTGTGTAGTCCACACATCCTAATTAACTCTTATCAATATTTCTTATGGTTTCACATCTAGTCAGTAAATCTAATTACCCAAAATAGTGTGATGACAATAAAATCACCTATACGTTAATGTAGAGTAATTTATTAACTTGCTTCTTATTATGGCTGGTGCATCCAATTTCTGAAGCCAGTCATTCAAGAATTAGTACATATTGTTCCCAATTTCCCACATTGAGAATCTGAGTAAGGTGGCCATTGAGAGTTCTAGAGTGAGATCTATGCTTTATTGTTCTTGATACTAAAGCTAGCACTTGGCATTTGCTCTCATCACTTTTTTTTTATATATCGATATGGGGAAGTTTTTAACAATCTTTTATACAATAAAGGTACTACGAGTTAGGACCAAATGACCCTCCTTATGCAGCCAAGTTTTATGACTGCTGTGGTGCTGAAGATCCTGAGGCACGTGGCTGTGCTGTGGACTTCCATATTTCATATGACGATGATTAAAGAGGTGGAGTTTTGGTCTGGTCGTCTTCACTGCGGCGAGTTATAGAAATGTACTGTAAAAGAAATGGCATGTTGTACTTCCATATTTCACATGTTGATGATAATTACCATTATTTTGTCCCAAAAAGCCCCATTTGAATAAATAAACAGAACTAATTTTCATATCCCCCCCCCTTTCCTGTAAAAAAACTGCAATCTCAACATCTTTTTTTCATAAAAGGGTTAGATTTTGCAAAAAAAAAAAAACATACTCCGGAGTAATTTTTATCATATGAAACGAACTGAGTATTTGAATTAAAAAAATGTTAAACAAGTTTACTCCGGGCAATATGTAAAATTTGGTTAAACTAACAAATACTACCTTCTACCTAAAGAGGAGTTGGTATATGGTACATCCGGATGTACCTAGAAATAGGTACATCCCGGTAGTACTCGTTCTGAAATAAAGTAGTACTTATTCTCGTACAAATATAAACATTCATTTTGAAATACGTAGTACTCATTCTGGCAAAGGTAGTACTTATTTTAAAATAAAGAAGTACTCATTTTTACACATTTGTCTAATATAATTATAATAAATAGCATAGTGTTTATTCTTTAAAAAAATAATACTCATTCTCAAATAAGGAAATGTTCATTCTGAAATAAAGTATTGTTCAATTTTTTCATAATTAAAAAGTTCAGTACCATCATTAACTTCTTCTTCTATTCGATTTGTACCTACTCATTTATACGCTTTGAGCATGGAGAATTTAAAAGCCAGGTTTATTTATGTTTGTATTAAATAAGAATATGATAATTGGTACTCCTCAAATCTGCTGGTACTCATTGTCATATATAATAGTTCTCATATATGTTCTGGGCATTGGATAAAAAATTTGCAAAATTTACAAAAATATCAGGCTGTACATAAAGGAAGGTACAGCTGGATGTACCATATAATTTGCCTCTAAAGAGTGATGTTTTTATGATCCTAAAGTCTACATTTAAAATGTAGACTTTCTCATATTATTTATGGACTTTCATGTGGATATGTTATATTTTGCAAAAGGTTCACCTCTTTTATTCTACAAAATGGGTCCATGGAAGAATTTGCCCTACCTAAAATCAACTTTGTACTTTCTTTTTTTTGTTTTAAAAATAATATTTTTTTTCTTTTAAGAATAAAAATATGCCATTCATGTTCTTTCTCTCACCCTTGTCCAAATTTTAACTATAAATATTCATTTTTTCTTAGAAATTGTTCTTTTATACATGCAAACTTATTTTTGAAATAGAAAGAATACACTTAGAAAGTACTTATTTTTTATGGGGGAAATTATGCTAGAGAGAAGTATTTCTGCAAGAGAAGTATTGGTTTCATCTGATGTTTTATTTAGAGAAGTATAGTTGAGACACAAAGTCTCTTTTGTAAAAAGACATGTTGGAAGGTTCGAACGGGGCAGAATATTTGAGTTTGGGAGGATCCTTGGCTTGGGGATAGTGAATGCCTTTGGGTGACGTCCATTAATCTGGATCGAGATGATCTACGACAGGTATCAGATCTTATTTTCAATGGATGGAAGTAACTTAGTCGGACTAAGTTCGATGTAGTAACCGTTGGAATATGTAGTATTCCCCCTAACATTAAACACCAAGGGGAGACATGCACAGAAAATATATGTCAGAGAATGAAGGACAAATGTTACAGCACAAAGAAGTATCAACTCAGGAACATAGCCTAGGCCTAGCACGTGGCTCAAGCTTGGGCGCACGTAGCCATGTGTCTATATTTTACTCCTCTTTAGGTAGATTTTTTTAGGAATAATTACCCAAAATAATCCCAACTTTACTCGGTCTTTCAAAAATAATCCCACCTTTCACTGTGATGCATAATAATCCCAACTTTACTGAAATTTACCAGTTTTGGGTCACCGTTAAGTTTCTAACGGAGGGATAACGGAAATGCTCATTTTAGGCAACAAAATGAAAGTTGGGATTATTTTTGATGAATTTTTGTTTTTTAATTTTTTTTTAAATTTTTATTTAATTTTTTTGAATTACTTTCAACCTCCATTTCTTTTTCTTTTTTAAAGATTATTCTTACCTTAGAAAAAAAATAGATATAAAAAATAATGAAAATTAGAAAAATAACTAAAATCATACAAAATTAATCAAATAAATAATGTAATCAATAGAAATTAAACAGAAACTGGTAAGAAATAAAATAAATATATATGGAGTCGTGGGTTTAATATTTTACACACTATACGGAGTCTTAATGTACTACTTATTTTTTAAAAGAACAAGCCGTCCGGTAAAGTTGGAATTATTGTAGATAATTTTTTCTAAAAAATAAGAAGTGATATGTTAATGCTTTGTATAATGCCTAAAATATTAAACCCACCCGTATATTTTTATTTTACTTTTTCCAATTTTAAGTTAGTTTCCATTGATTACCTTATTTAATTTATTATTTTTGTATCATTTTAGTTACATTTCTCATTTTTTCATTTTTTAAAACTATTGTTTTTATTTTTTAAACTAAGACTAATCTTTAAAAAAGGAAAAAGAAATGATGGTGGAGGTAGAAAGTAGTTTAAAAAATTTAAATGAAAATTTCAAAAAAAATTAAAAAACAAAAATTCATCAAAAATAATCCCAACTTTCATTTTGTTGTCTAAAACGAGCATTTCCGTTATCCCTCCGTTAGAAACTTAACGGCGACCCAAAACTGGCAAATTTCAGTAAAGTTGGGATTATTATGCATCACAGTGAAAGGTGGGATTATTTTTGAAAGACCGGGTAAAGTTGGGATTATTTTGGGCAATTTTTCCATTTTTTTAATACTCTTGTCACATCTTATTTTGTAGAGTTTTTTATATATAGTTTTGAACAATGTAATTTGGTTTTTTATTTTCCTATGGATGGAAACCGCTTTTTGGGGCGTCGACCCGACGAACTCGGTATCGGGTCGACACCGCACCGAATAGCAAAATCCGGAAAAGAAATAAATAAATAAAGCGGAGAGAAAGTATATATACGTGGAAACCCAAATCGGGAGAAAACCACGGTCCTTTTTAGGCGGTGTCATGCCAAAGGGGAGAAACTTTTATTAATCTCAGGAGAATTTACATATTCATCATTGTAGGAGCTTGGAGCCATTAATGGAGCTCCAAGGTAAAAGAAGAAAAAGAATGAAGAATAGTAGTAAAACTTGTAGGAAGTTGGCTTTCCACCCTCCCTCCTCTTCGTAGCTTGCATTTAAAGGGGGGAATGGAATGATTATTGGAGACAAAAGATAATGTCTAGGTCCCACTAAATAAATCCTTGGGCCCTAGTCAATATTTATATATCTCATCAATTTATATTTTTCGTCTTCATATCTCTGGCTCCGTCTTAAATAATTTATAATTTATATCTTGGGCCAGATAAAATTAGGCTTTCTTGTACTGTTCAAATAATACGAAGTATTAGATTAGGTAAAATTCCTATTTCATCACATGCCCCCTAGTTTTGAGCCTATCTTGGGGAACGAGGCAGATTCAGAACTATATGACTCGGTGGGTTGCCTCATGGGATAAAACTTTTCTTGGTACCTCGGGAAGAGGACTTTCTTTTTTGGAGGGTCTCGTTACCTCGTGGGTAAGGAATTTAAATTGGTGCCTCTTGAAAGAGGATTTCCTCGGGGGTTTGTGCCTCTTGGAAGAGGGCTCTTCTCAGGGATTTGTGCTTCTTGGAAGAGGACTTTTCTCAAGAATTTGTGCCTCTTAGAAGAGGACTTTTCTCAGAGATTTGTGCCCCTTGGAAGAGGACTTTCTTTAAACTTAATACCTCTTAGAAGAGGACTTTCTCGGGACTTTGTGCCTCTTTGGAAGATGACTTTTCTTTCTTTTTAGTTTCTCGGGAAGAGGACTTGGTGCCTTTTGGAAGAGGACTTTTCTCAGAGATTTGGGCCTCTTAGAAGAGGACTTTTTTGGACGTGGTGCCTCTTTGGAAGAGGACTTTTCTTTCTTTTTAGTTCCTCGGGAAGAGGAGTTGGTGCCTCTTGGAATAGGACTTTTTTCAGAGATTTGAGCCTCTTAGAAGAGGACTTTCTTGGCACTTGGTGCCTCTTTGGAAGAGGACTTGGTGCCTCGGGGAAGAGGATTTTTCTCGGAGCTCAGTGCCTCTTGGAAGAGGACATTTCTCGGGGATTCGTTGCCTCTAGGTAGAGGGCTTTTCTCGGGGCTCTTTTTTCAATATTCTTTGGGAGCCTCTAAACCCCCACCTGATATCTATCTCACGGTGGTTGGGCGCTCCGCTCTTATTGAATAATAGACAATCTCCGTCCACCTTTCTCTTTCTCTCTAACTCTTTTCTCTATCTTGGTACGGGAGCCTATGACTTTCTCCAGTAATCCGATCACCTAACTTGACCTTATTACTGACCTCTTCTTTCTATTCTTTTACAGTATTACTTTTATCAACTTGTACAACTCGGAACGGACCACTTGAGGCTTGATCTGTCCATTTGAAAAACCCATGAAGCTGGAACGGTCCACTTGAGGATAGAGACGTCCCTTCGAGGGTCCTATGAAGCCGGAATGGACTACTTGAGGCTAGATTCGTCCCTTGGATGGATCCTAGAAATTTAAACGGTCCACTTGAGGATAGATCTATCCATTTGAGGGACCCATGAAGCTGGAATGGTTCACTTAAGGCTAGATCCGTCCATTTGAGGGACTTATGAAGTTGGAGCGGTCCACTTGAGGCTAAATCCGTCCATTTGAGGGACCCATGAAGCTGGAACGGTCCACTTGAGGCTAGATCTGTCCACTTGAGGGACCTAAGAAATTTGAGCAGTCCTCTTGAGGCTAGATCCGTTCACGGGATGGATCCTAGAAGTCGGAAAGGTCCACTTGAGGCTAGACCCGTCCTTGGCTGCTGAAGAGGACCGCGTAGAGGACCTCCAGAGAGGACCGCCGGAGAGGACCGTCAGAGAGGACCGCGGAGAAGACCGCCATAGAGGACCGCGGTGAGGACTGCCGGAGAAAACCGCTGAAAAGACCGCTGGAGATGACTTGACCGGCGGAGAGGACCGCCGTAGGAAGTGGGAGCTCGTCGGAGGGCTGCCGCTGCTGTCCATGGCACGCCGGAATAAGTGGGAGCTCGCCACAGATGGAATTCATTGAATTGGGGGCTCTCTGCCGCTCCCAATTTCTCGCCAGAGAATTCGCCGACTGATTCACTGCTCCAGATCTGATGGCCGACC